GAGTGGAGCAATCTTATTTATTCAAGAAGATTTGAAAATAACAGAAGTGCAACAAGAAGTTCTTGTTGGTGTATTGAGTATAATTTCACTTTTGGGTAGCTTAGCTGGTGGAAGAACATCAGATGCAATTGGGAGAAAGTGGACAATGGGGTTAGCTGCTGTTATTTTTCAAATAGGTGCAGCTGTAATGACCGTTGCTCCTTCGTTTGAAATACTAATGGTAGGAAGGATTTTAGCTGGAGTTGGCATTGGCTTTGGTGTCATGATTGCACCTGTCTATATAGCTGAGATATCGCCAACTGTTGCTAGAGGCTCGCTCACATCATTTCCTGAGATTTTCATAAATCTAGGAATTTTACTCGGTTATGTATCCAACTATGCGTTCTCCGGTCTTTCCGCACATATAAGCTGGCGGATAATGCTTGCTGTTGGAATTCTTCCCTCAGTCTTTATCGGAGTTGCTCTCTTCATCATCCCCGAGTCACCTAGGTGGTTGGTCTTGCAGAACCGAGTCGACGAAGCAAGGTCAGTGCTAATGAAAACAAATGAAAACGAGTCAGAAGTTGAGGAGAGACTAGCCGAGATACAACTAGCTGCTGGAAGCACAAACACAGACAAATATGAAGAGAAACCCGTTTGGCGTGAACTTTTGACGCCCTCTCCTGCTTTACGTAGGATGCTGATCACAGGTATTGGAATTCAATGTTTCCAACAGATTACTGGAATTGATGCTACTGTTTACTACAGTCCTGCAATTTTCAAAGCAGCTGGTATTGAGGATGAATCAAAACTTCTCGCTGCTACGGTTGCTGTGGGAGTCAGCAAAACAGCATTTATACTAATAGCTATCATTCTCATTGACAAAGTAGGGCGAAAGCCATTGCTCTATGTGAGCACAATTGGTATGACTACATGTTTGTTTGGCGTGGGGATTACTCTCATTTTATTGAAACAAGGATCAATTAGCATCGCGCTAGCAATACTATTTGTTTGTGGGAATGTAGCATTCTTCTCAGTGGGCATCGGTCCAGTCTGTTGGGTTTTAACATCAGAAATCTTTCCCTTAAGGCTACGTGCTCAAGCGTCAGGGCTCGGGGCAGTAGGTAATAGAATGTGCAGTGGCCTGATCGCAATGTCTTTTCTATCTGTTTCTCGCGCAATTACTGTTGGTGGAACTTTCCTAATCTTTTCAGTAATCTCTGCACTGTCTGTTGCATTTGTCTATAAACACGTTCCAGAAACGAAAGGCAAGTCGTTGGAGCAGATTGAGTTGTTGTTTCAGGATGAATACGTGTTACAAGGAGGTGAAGTGCAACTTGGAGATGTTGAACATCTAGTCCAGAAGTAGTGGTCTTTGGAGAGTTCCGATTAGAGCTGAAACAAAGCCCTTTCTATTATTTACACCAGCTTTGAGTGGTGAATATTTGGAGATTATTTCATGTGGCTACTTGCAAATGCCACTACAGCTTTCCCCTTTGAACCATTGGAGGAGAACGGGAGATCACACGACTGAAAAACTGATGTTTGGGATAGGAAATGTAACTCTATTTATTGAAAGACATCATGTTGGATATATTTCAAAATATCTATTGGTTTATTGGTTAAATGAAAAGATGAGGGTTACTTCTTTGGCTGCAAACTTAACAACACTGTTTATGCAAATGATTTATGTTAGAACCAAAGAATATTCTATTGTTTCCTTTTCATTTGGAGCCAAATATATGGGAAAATTGCCCAATGCTTCTTTTGAATTATTAAGTTGGTAACCAACACAAGACATATGAAAGGATGCCTAAAGAGACTACTCACCTGCTTACCACAAAGAATGTAAGGAAAGGCAAATAAGAGATTTAGGTGGATGTATTCTATTGTAATTAAATCGTTTGGATGTCGACAAATTGGAAGTCATAAATTGGAACATTGGTATCATCTGACTCAATTTTCATAACATAGGTAAATCGTCCTAAAAATATCTTGTAATCCGACATGATTGGTGAGTACCAGGCGTTGTTAGATATAACCGCAAAATTTGTAATCTGATATAAACAACCTTTACGGAGAACATGACGATACATGTCAATATGACTAATATAAATATTTGCATGTATCAAGTTTCCCTTATACAATAACCATAAAAGATTCATGTATTAACAATGCAATATCATAAATTAGTGAATGAATTAAAAAAACAAATGTCATTTAGAGATTGTCACCACGAAACTGGATCACTTAGGGTACAATCAAGGGATTCAATCCTTACCTTTCTTTGACAGGTAGGGTTGTGTTTAATTTTATTTTATTTTATTGAGGGATCTACTTGTTGGGCTTTTAAGCTTGGTATAGCTTAAAGATGATGAATGAGAAATGGAGAAAAAATAAAATATTTGAGTTTTCCTCCTTGGCAAAGGGACATTGTCTCATATTGGAGGAAGAAAAGACTTTTGATGGGTATATATACAATTGCTTTTCTTCTAGCTCTTAAAGAGTTAAGAAGAAGGCAAGCCTCGCGCCGTCGTCGTCGTCGCTCGGCTCGACTTCGAGATCGGGATCGGTACTTATTAAATTTTTTGATTATCTTCTTCTTCTTCTGCACAATATTTTCCAGTGTGTTTTGCAACCATTGAATGGTTCGAAGTTCACCGGAGTTTTTGGTACCAATACGCTGGTGAGTTAAATCGTTCAATCCTGGGAGGATAATATTTTAACACCTCAGGTACTTGAGGAGAATAATTTTCTTAAGGACACACTGTTCATTCAGTGGGCTCGATTTATTCCAATATTATTTTTTCAGAATTTATTTCGTGCAACTGGTTCTACTAACTTTCTGTTTCTGTTTCTATTTTAGAAAATTTAATGGTTTTTATTGTTTATTACAGTAATACAGAGTGAATAACAATCTTAAATTTTATTGTATTTTGTATTCTGTTTGTTAAAACATGTGTGGTTTTCTACTCCTTCTGAATCTTACTATTCTGACTTGAAGATATAAAAACTTCATCAGAGTATTGAAATTCAGAAACGATTTGAAAAGCATAAAAACTTCATCGTTTTCTGTGAAATAAATATAAAAACTTTGGTTTTTTATTTATTAAACGTACTGGTTATTGTTAATTACAGTATTGTTTACCATTCTATTTTCTGCCATTAATTGAACTCTTTTGTTATTGACAGTGAGAAATGGCAATTGATAACAGAAATCCTTTTGCGACTGTTGCGGCAACGACGATAGCCTCGTCAAGCCGAACTGTTGTTCCACCGGCCGAGAAACCGGAGAAATTTTCTGGAGCCAACTTCAAAGGATGGCAGCAAAGGGTATTCTTTTGGCTTACTACACTTGGTATGCAGAAATTCACTAGCGAAGAACCTCCAGTGCCTGCTGCAGACATGTCGTATAATGAGAAATTCATGATTGTTGAGGCGTGGAAACAAACAGATTTTCTTTGCAAAGGCTATATCTTGAGCGCTTTAGAGGATGACTTGTACAATGTGTACAGTGCGATGAATACTTCGAAAGAATTATGGGACACACTTGAGAATAAGTACAAGACTGAAGATGCATGCTTGAAGAAGTTCGTAGTCGCCAAGTTTCTAGACTATAAAATGATAGACAACAAAACTATTGGAACCCAAGTTCAGGAGCTT